ATGCTGAAGTAAAGACACATACTTCCCTCTATGTACTGCTTGCTGAAAACTTTAGAGCAGCTTACTTATGGCAAATATATAGACACTTTTGTGGTAAGCATTTTTTTTCATTTTGCAAAACATGCATGGTCTGCAGAGAGCCAAAAAAGAGGAAGACCCTCAGTGAGATGGACCGACACAGGGGCAACAATAGCTCAAACACGGCGACCGTGATGAAGATGACGCAAGGCCCGGAAGTGTGGTGTCCTGTTTACATGTCGTTGCTATGAGTCCAACAATAACAACAACATATAGCCCCTATATGTTGGTATGGCGATTAAGTCCCCAGGCTTGGAGTCATGTAGCCTGAACTAAAATCTCACCTCTACCAGTGACTAGGGGGAGACTGTAAGAAGTTATTTAGTCTCTCAGAACTTCAGTCTTTATCAGTGTAAATATATATACACTGATAATATATACACTGATATATACAGCATAAAATATCAGTGTAAAAGGATGCCAGCTACTTCATAGAGCCTAATGTGAAGAGTAAAGAAATAATGTTAAGTACAGCAGTAGAGAAAGGAGCCTTGGTAGTACAGTGGTTATAAGTTGGGCTTCTAATTGCAAGGTCAGGAGTTCAAAACCACCATCTGCTCTGTGGGAGAAAGATGGGACTTTCCCCTCCTGTAAAGGGTTACAGTCTTGGAAACTCACAGGGGAAATTGTGCCCTGTCCTGTAGGGTCACTATGAGTTGGCATCGATTTGGTGGCACTGTAGAGTGTCTGGCACATAGCTGTTAAATGAACGGTATACCTTTTGTAGCACATTTGTATGCCTACCTCTACTGTTAGCATGTGAGCTCCATGAAGGTGGGATCTGCCCCTTGCAGAGGGGTTTTGGGGAGGAGACGAGCCAGTCAGGGTGCGATGTAACAACGATGAAAAAAAAAAGCTTTCCTCTAGTTCCTAAATGTTTCCTCCCCGCTCCCACGATCATGACACGAATTCTACCTTGCAAGTCTGGCTAGACCAGAGGATGTACACTGATACATAAAGGAACTGGAAATCCAGGGAATCCAGGGCGGATGAGCCCTACAGGACCAGTGGTGTGAGTGGAGATACAGGGAGGGTAGAGGGAGAGTGGGTAGGAAAGAGGGAACTGATTACAAGGAACTATATGTGACCTCCTCCCTGGGGGACGGACAACCGAAAAGTGGGTGAAGGGAGACGTCGGACAGGACAAGATATGACAAAATAACAATTTATGGGTTATTGAGGGCTCATGAGGGAGGGGGAAGCGGGGAGGGAGGGGAAAAATGAGGACCTAATGCCGGGGGCTTAAGTGGAGAGGAAATGTTTTGAGAATGATGAGGGCAATGAATGTACAAATGTGCTTTACACAATTGATGTGTGTATGGATTGTGATAAGAGTTGTATGAGCCCCTAATAAAACGATTAAAAAAAAAAAGGTGGGATCTGTGCTACAATCTTCTTTATCTTCGGTTCTCAGCCCAGGAGACTGCTTGGATGATGGACGATGGGAAGGCAGGTAAGGAAAGCACTTGAACTGAAGACAGTAATTTCCTAAATATATCATGGGTGCTGATGTGGGAAATGGGGGAAGATTCAATTACAGCTTTGCCAGGACTGGGGCATCAAGAATTCCACAATGGCTTCTGTTATGTTCTGGTCAGAGGTTCTAAAAAGCCAACCCAAAGTGTCCCTAAATAGGGTTTCCAAGGCTGTAAATCTTTAAGGAGTCCCAGCATTCTCTTGGTGGAGTGCTGGTGGGTCTGAACTGCTGTCCTTGCAGTTAACAGTCCAAGGCTCACCTAACCGTGCCACTCCAGATGAAAAACTGTCTGAGGGAAGGAAGTAAAATTAGAGATAAAATTAGATAGGTGGTAGGGATCGAAATTGCAGGGGTCTGGAGTGAGAGGCGGCACTAAGATGGACCGCAACAGCAGTGGGAAGACAAATCCCTATCTGCAATGCTCACAGGGTTCCTGCACGCTGCCAATTGCAGAATCCACTTACTGGATGCAGATTCACGTGCCACAGAGAAGCGGCACAGCTGCAACACTGTCACTCACAAAGATCTTGTAAATGAGTAACATGCTTTCTAATCTACTATCTATGTAAGAAACACAAAACAACAACAACAAACACCAAAGAGGAGGACGCACTGGATCCAATCCCAGCTCTACTTTTACTACTTGTACAACCCTGAGCCAGTAACTCATTAAATCATCGTGGGTCGCAGTTCTGCACCTTTGCAACTGAGAACAATACCACTTTCATGTGGGACTGTTAGGAGGGTTAGTAATGATAAATAAAGTATCTGACACAATGTGTGGTAGGCAATGAATATTCAATATAACAACCATTATTTTTTTTCCTAACCAGTATACTCAGCCATTCACTAAAAACAGCTTGTTTAATCCTCTTTGCTAGTTCATACACATGATGCTACGGGGTCAACAGTTGTTAAAACTTGTACAAAGTGCTGTCTTCAGAAAGATGAATCTGAAAAGCTGTCTCACCATTTCCTTCAGCATTTAGGTAAGTATAAGAATGAGCTAACAAAACAACGATTAACAGTCACACACTCAAATACAATTATTAATAGGTCAAAATCAATTTTTAAGTTGAAAGTCAAATGTTCTGGTAAATTCTAGCTCACAGGTAAATGGTGTAACACAGGAATGAAATGTCAGAACAAAAATCTCTACCTTGTTTTAACCTCTTAAGAAGCCGATTTACTGAAAATAACATCTTGGTTTAAACTTTCACCTGCTTTCAATGACCTTCCCTTTAGTGATAAAACTCTGAAACAGGCAAACACAATCTGCTCGGAAAGCAAATCTCCAAACCAAACTTTATTACCCAGTAAGTTTAATTTCTCATCACTGTGAAGGTTTACCATAGCCTGGCTCTACCCAGTCCACCGTATTTCGCAATACTTGATCATAATAAGCCTTTAGTCAAATCTGGCCCACCTCTGTATTGTATCTGAACCCCAGCTCATCACCACTGACCCCTTGCTCTGCTCTCAGCACAATGTACTTACCTCACTTCCTTCCTATGCTTTCTGACTGCTGCCCCGGGCCTACCCTGTGCTGTACAACTGGCATCTCAGCATAAACCTCATCACACTGTTCTAGTCTGAAATTTGCACAGTCGAGTTCCTTATTTTACCCAGTCCTGGTGGCAGAGTGGTTATGTGTTGGGTGGCTAACCACAAGGTCAGCAGTGTGAGAACCACCAGCCTCTCTAAGACACAGTGGTTCTCAACCTTCCTGATGCCGGGACCCTTCAATACAGTTCCTCATGCTGTGGTGACCCCCCCAACCATAAAATCATTTTTGTTACTACTTCATAACTTTAATTTTGCTACTTTTATAAATCAGGAGACCCCTGTGAAAGGGTCGTTCGACCCCCAAAGGGGTGGAGACCCACAGGTTGAGGACCGCTGCTCTAAGAGAAGGATAAGGCATTCTACTCCCATAGTCAGTCTCCGAAACCCACAGTTCTGCCCTGTCCAATAACATCGCTATGAATGAGCTCCTTATTTTAACACGCTAGCCTGTTTATTTTCTTTTCATGTATGTATGAGATAAGAACTTGCCTTTAAAGGTCATAGATGAACAACTGACCTTAAAGTAAAACTTCATAAGAACTATTTTTTGACAGATTTTATGAGGAGAGTGTCTTATTTATAGACAAGGCGGGTGACAGGCAGAATCAATGTTTGCTGGCTGATTTTAGACAAGTTTTAGAGATATAGTTAACCCATATACACGTTGGAAACACCTTTTGAACACAAGGAATAATTCTTAAGAGTCTCAAAAGAAAAAGAATTTCTAGAGTATACTATTTATAATTTAAAAATAAAAACATGGCTATTGGATCAAACAGATTGTAAAAGATACATACAAATAAGTAAAAATTATACAATATATGGAATCCCTCAACTGTTGCCCTGGCTGAAAACTATCATTTACAGAAGTGATCCGAAAAATTTCAGATCCACCTAAATTGAATCTAAGATTTCTGAAGAAAGAGCGAAACAAACATTAACAAAAAGGATTCATCTTAAACGTGGTTTTATTACCTCCAGGAGGTATTGCCCAAAAACCTTTAACCAAATACTTTTAACTGAAGGGAACTGAAGGATGTAATACCAGGAAAGGGCAATGTCCTAACTTGTCCCTTGAGATTTCAAGTAGTTCGGTGGTCACCACGAGCGTTTTCTCCTTTTACACAAAGTTTAGCTTACCCTCTCAAATCTTATCACTGTGAACAATGATTATTTTATAAATAATTCATAATAAGGAAAATGTTCTATCATTCATTTTTAGCCAGGCAATCATCATTAGAAAATAATAGGGAACCAGGAAATGGACCTAGAATAATTTTTAATAGACAAAATATGTCTATTAAAAAGACCTTAGTTCAAATCATTTAAATGACCCCATCTAGGACTAACTATCTGAAAATTTCATGAGTTGACTCACAGATTCACGGCAGTGCCAGTTTGAAAATGTTAAGATACTAAGAAATCTCTTAACTGATATTAGGCAAGTATCCTTTTTTGCAATCTCAGTAATGCTACCACGAGGAGAAAAAGACGATGAAAGACTTCCCTCTACCCACAACGGTAAAACCAAGAATCCAGTCTCTAAGAAAAGGAAAATTCTCATTTAATGGATGTAGTTTTGACATCTAGGAAAACAAGAGTTTTCAAACCACAATAAAACAAATATTTGGCAGGCAAATATTATGTGAACCTTTCAGGTTATGAATGAGAGGTTTAAGGAAAACAAATGCTCAATACTGGCACAGAAAAAACAAACACTTATAATAAAGAAGACAATCTTCCTTTCAGAATATTATTACTTAAAATACCACATTCACGGAAGATACTTGGCATCAAAGAGTCTTACAAGCAGCAATAACGTGTTACACTACAGAGGAAGGAAGAGAGAAATACGTGAAGATCAGAATTTATCACTTACCTCATGATTCAGCTCTGCTATCTGATCTTTCAGTTCCCTAATGTACTGGTTAGAGTCAGACTTGTTAAGCTGTCCTTGAAACTTTCCTTCTTCTTTCTGGTTTGTGACAATAGAACAAAGAAAAAAGAATGTCAATAAGGTTTAAGGAGAGTTGTTTACAACAGATACATAGCATGTAACTTTGAGGGACACTTAGAAATCCAGCAACTGAAAGGATCTACAGTGAAAACATTACCCTAACACGTGAAAGCTCCTATCCAACTCAGCCAGTCCATTATTTTGAGGGTAGCCCTCAGCAAGGCCTCAAGAGTCAACGCCTGTCTGCTTTTTGTTTGTGGAAGAGAAGGGAGGGGAGCGGGAGGGGTTCTTCAAATCACTTAAAAAGGAAAACAGCTGAGACTTCTTGGATAGTGATTAAAAGGTGCTCCTAATTCTAAGGACAGGTAGAGGACAGTGTTGGGATCACTTTCCAGAATGTAGATTAGGAAAGGAGGGGCTGATTTTTTTGGTACCACCTGCAAACACATGTGAACTTTTTAAGTAAATAATTAAAAAGCAGAAATCGGTTTTGTTAAATGCATCCAGATTATTTGTAATTAGGCAGTCACATGTTGATGCTTCAAATGTTAAGCTTTGATCTAAAAGGCACCTTTATGACTTTAGCAATAAGCTAATATTTAAGTATAAACCATTTTATTTTTAAAACTTTTAGTTTTAAGAGCAGAATCAAACAGTTATCTAGTCAAACTTTCTCTGAAGTCTTCCTGATTTTTAATTTGCATGAACCAATATAATCCCTTTATTAACTCTACCCTTTTGGGGTGCATAACATCCTCCAAAGGTCCCAGCAAAAGGATCTGATGTGGAAACTTCCCTAGGAGAACTAGGCTTTTTACCTCAAGCTCGCCTGTAGCAGATTTCAGGAGCTGACATACTCCCTTGGACTTAAAACACCTGGATGTGAGCAGAAGCAGTGAAAGCAGTCCATGGTCATGGGCTGGTGGTCGCTGGTCTGGTTGGGCCTTTTGCTCTGAGGGTGCCAATGACCGGTGGTCCACGACTATCATATATTTACCACTTTAATGCTCTCCTTGCTTTCTTCTGACATACATTAGTCTGAGGCATCGTTTATCTGATGTCTAAGTTTTAAATAAGTATTCTTCCAACGCTCTATTTTCAAGTGCTGTCCACATGGTTGTTTCTGATTAGCAGGTCAGAAAATGTCAGCTACATGAATAAATTTACTAGAATCTGTATTTTCTTTCGGTCTAGAATTCAGGCATCCTCAAACTATGGCCTGCTGGGGACATTTATTGGCCCCACCGCGTGTGTTTTGGCCCTGTTTGTTTATTTACATCAAAATAAGATAGGTGCAGTGTGCACAGGAATTTGTTCATAGGTTTTTTTTAATAAAAACTATAGTCCGGCCTTCCAACGGGTCTGAGAGACAGTGAATTGGCCCCCTGTTTAAAAAGTTTGAGGACCCCTGGTCCAGATGATAACAGCAACTGATGGCCAGTTAAATGGTTTCCTAGGTAAAACTAATTAGGTCATCAGCTAATGTAAAGAAAAGGAATCCAGTATATTAACAATTCCAGGATTCTGAAATTTCACTGAACAGATGTCAGATGGATACATTCTGTCAGATGATAAATGAAATGTGTATTAGGAGCATAAAATAACATTTGTAAGAGATCTAAGTATATAATTCACTATAGATTCTATCTTTGAATTTTACCAATTATCATTATTATGTCTCTAACAGGCGGACTCACAAAAATGCCTATTGCTTTGTATATGCATGAGTATTTAATCAAAGAGTCATCAGTAAATTTAGATGATATTATGTATGTTGAAGTGGTTAGGTGACAACAGTGTCTGTAATTTATTTTGAAATGCATATAAATAAAGTAAGGTGGCTAGAGGGATGAATGCATGAATATTGTAGTGAGCAGTAGACCAAGCAAAAATACACAAAAGTGTTCATTGTGATTGGAGGTGGTGGAAATATTTGTTGCTATATATTAGGGGGAAAAAGCCATACACAAAAACAATTCATTCCTTTCTTCCTTGCATCAGCTCAAAATGCAAGCTCTGGTTCACAGTGCTTGTACCCATATTTACTGACACAGGTGAAGAGATACAATTTCCAAAAGGTTAGTTAGTGATTTTTCATTTAAAATCTAACTTTTCAAAGAAACAACATCTAACTTTTTACCTTTCAGTAATCAGTCATTTGAGATGAAAAGGGAAGAACGGAAAGAGGTGACACAGGAGGAAGCACCCTAAGTAATGTCACACTGGGATTGCCATCAGGACATAAGATAAAATGTGCATCAACTATGAATGGAAAACGGATCTGTTCTGTAAACCGTCATCCAATTCACACTAGATAAAAACAAATGAACTAAATTCAACTACTGTTCTAGAAATAGCACTGTCTATACATTTTATTGGCAGCATGAGAAATAGCATGACTGAAACAAACATTAGGACTTCATGCATACAGTACATGATTTGAGGCAATCTGAACTAAAATTTACACCTACGCTATTTTGTAATAGATTTTGTGGTTGTTAGTTCAATATCTATTCCATTTCGTTTCTTTCCACCATTATGTACTGTCTAAAGAACTGGAATGATCCTTTCTCTGAGTCTCGTCATGGGAACCCAGTGGTGCAGTGGGTTATGTACTGTTTGTTAATCACCATCCATTTTCACAGGAGAAAAAGATGAGGTTTTCTACTCGTGTAAAAAATTGGTCTCGCGCCACTGGAGATCCCCTTGCAGAGGGGTCTCAGGGAGGAGATGAGCCAGTCAGGGTGCGATGTAACAATGATGAGAAATACAATCTTCCTCTAGTTCCTAAAGGTTTCCTCCCCGCTCCCACTACCATGATTCGAATTCTATCTTGCAAGACTGGCTAGACCAGAGGAGGTACACTGGTACAGATAGGAACTGAAAATACAGGGAATCCAGGACGGATGAGCCCTATAGGACCAGTGGTGTGAGTGGCAAAACAGGGAGGGTAAAGGGAGAATGGGTAGGAAAGAGGGAACCGATTACATGGAACTGTGTATGACCTCCTCCCTGGGGGACAGACAACCGAAAAGTGGATGAAGGGAGACGTCGGACAGGGCAAGATATGACAAAATACCCATTTATAAACTATCAAGGGCTCATGTGGGAGGGGGGAGCGGGGAGGGAGGGGAAAAATGAGGACCTAATGTCGGGGGTTTAAATGGAGAGAAAATGTTTTGAGAAACGATGTACAAATGTGCTTTACACAATTGATGTGTGTATGGATTGGGATAACAGTTGTGTGAGCCCCTAATAAAATGTTAAAAAAGAAAAAAAAAATTGGTCTCGGAAACCCAGAGAAGCAGTTCTACGTGTACGGTTACAATGGATCAGAACTGACTCGACGGCAGTGAGTAGTTGTCCATAACTGGTGAGTCCAAGCTCATCAAAGAAGAATCAGTAATTGGACAATATGCCCTTGATGATAGAAATACCACCAGAGATAGACAATACAATTTTGTAACACCAATTCATTGCAAAGGAGCTCTGGTGGCGGAGTGGGTTATGCATTGAGCTGCTAACCACAAGGTCAGTGGTTTAAAACCACCAGTCTTCCCATGGGAAAAGATGGGGCTACTGTACTCTTGTAAAATACAGTCTCAGAGACCCAGAGGGGCAGTTTTACTCTGTCCTACAGGGAGGGTCTCCACGGGTCAGAATTGACTCAATGGCAGTAAAGTTAAAAAAAAATTAATTTGTTGCAAATATATATTTTTCAACAATATAAATGGCAACTATACATGTAGACCTAGCTAGGTGGATTATACAGGAATCAATTCAACAGTATTTGTGGAAAATGTCAATGGAAAAAGTCAACATAAAGAGAACAAAATCTCTGTAAAATCTTTTGTTTCTCTGGTTATATTTATTGTTATGTATGTCATTTTTTGTGTGGCTATTGTAAATGGTATTATTTTCTTGATTTCTTCTTCAGAGCTATTTTCATTATAATAAAATTTGATTGATTTTTGTATATGTTAATCTTGTATCCTGCTACACTGCAGAATATCTTGATTGTTTCCTACATTTTCTGGTTGTTGTTGTTGAGTCTTTGGGATTTACTACATATAAAAACATATCATTAAAAAAATCATGTCATCAAAACAAAACAAAAAACCCCTGACAGTGGATCAGTAAGTACCATCAGAGTAAACAAAAAGACTGAAATTGAGGATTTCATTTTACATGAATCCAGTCAATGCTCATGGAAAGGGTGGCCAAGAAATCAAATGATGGATTACTATTGTTAGGGTCATCAGTCAGCTTGGACTCATCTTGACCGTAAGTACAGCAGAATGGAACCCTTGCCGTATTCACAATGGTTGTGTGTGAGCTCCCTGGTGCAGCCACTACGTCAATCGTAGTGGTGATCCTCTTTTTCACCGGCCCTCCATTTTACCAAGTCTAGTAACGTTCTTTTCCAAAGACTGGCCAACCAATGACATACTCCATTACGCAAATCTGCTACAAAAGACCGCTTTAAAATGTTCACAAAACTCTGGCATTTCCCATTGCATAAGAAAACCTCAGATGCACGTGAAAGCTGGATGAACAAAGAATGCTGAAAAAGAACTGATGTGTTTGAATTATAGCGTTGGTGAATAATGCCATGGATTGCCAGAACTCTGTCTTAGAAGATGTACTGTACACCCAGTGAGGATGGCGCAACTTACATTGGACACGCTATTAGCAAGGATTTCCTAGAAAAGGCCATGAAAGTAGAGGGTCAGCAAAAAAGACGAAGGCCTTCAATGAGATGGACTGACAGCGGTGACAATAATACACTCAAGCATAGAGTTGTGAGGATGGTGCAAGTGCGACTCATGCCTTGTCTGCTATACACAGGGCTGCTCAGAGTGAACAGACCCGACAGCACCTAACAGCACAGGAACAACAACAAGCCAAACATAGTAACCCCAACTGTTGTTCCAACAGTCTCTCGCTCAGAAATCCGGTGGACATTCACTATAGCATATAGCTTCTCATTTCTGCCATGGGGTAAACCTTCTGACAAG